CTGGGTCCTAGCCCTGGGTTGTGTTTTCTCTTACCGGCTTTTATGTGATGGCTGCTGAAGCTGGAAACATTTGAAGGTTTGATTAGGCACAACATCCAAGATGGCTCTATCACTCATGTCTGGTGCCTCCTTAACTAACTTGACGGAAAAAGCTGTGAACTGACCTGGTATGTCTTTCTCTCCATGTGTGTCCCTTCCACATGCAAACTTAGCCTTCCTTACAGCATGGTAGTCTCGGGGTGATCAAGTTTTCTACTTGGGACTGGCATCTCCTGAACAAGCATTCCAAAAGACCCAGATAAAAGTTTAAGGCTTCTTGTGACCTAGCCTGGAAGCCCCAGAATATTGGTCACCATCACTGAATTCTATTGGTCAAAGTCACTAAGGTCTGCCCAAGGTTTAGGGGAAGGAAATTAGACTCTGCCTCTTGATCTGGGCAGCATAAATACAAAAGGGAGGGAGGAAATTGATGAAGAGCAAATTTAGAGAATACCTACCACTGAAAGACCAGGGAACAAAAAGGTCTTGGAGGTGGAAATTGGAAGCACTCTTGGGGCATGTTAACTTTGTGATGCCCATTGAACAACCAATTGAATGCATACACATGCAAATCAGAGAAAGACTGGCCTGAAAAATATCAAATCAGGAGATACATAATTTCAAACCAAGGCCCTAGATGCTAATACCTAAGTAGTGAATTTAGATAGAAGGAAGCTCCAGAAAGTACAAGAGGGGACAGGAGAAGTGTGAAGTTAAATAAAAAGCACTTTGAAAAGAAGGAATGACTAGTCATTATCACAGTGTCATGCTGAAAATTCAGATGAGGACTCAGAGGTGACTATTGGGTAGAACAAGGTTTCAGTCATTAGTAGTCTTGATAAGAAAAATAATGGATGAAATTTGATTATAGAAAATTGGGGAGAGAGTGGAAAAAGCAAGTAAAAGCAACTTTTTCAAGAAGTTTTCATAGAAAGGGGATAGTTATTGAGTGGAGATTTGGAGTCTAGGAGTGGTTTTATTGTTGTTTTAAAACCAGACTGATGCAACAGGAAGTTAGTTGAGCAGGGCAACAGAGGGAAAAGTAATTACAGAAGTCTTGAGTAGGTGAGAGGTGACAGGACTGAGATAAGGTGACCTGGAAAAATAGGAGGTGATGGTCAGTGAAATAATGTTCAAACCAGAGATTTTGAAACAGAGATTTTCAAGGGGGTATGGATATAGCAGTAACAAAGTCTACGGAATTAAGAGTTGGTAGCTGAATGTGAGAAAGTCAAGGAACTAAGAGGCTGAGGTTGTGATGAATGATAAAAGTAGTCTGGAGAGTAAAACAGCAAGCCAGATGCTGAACTCCCAAGGATGTGCACGTATAAGAGAATAAAGCCTTAATTCCCAAACACTTCTAAGGTTGTCCTATACTATGTCAAAAGCTGAGCTGCAGCTGCGTCCCAAAGTTTTTTTTTTTTTTTTTTTTTGCATGGCTTGTTGGTATTGCTGTCCACAAGAGAAATTTTGTACAAGAATGTAAAGCAACAGGGCCTCCCAAGAACTGGGGTACAAGCCAGAGGTGCAGAGGGTAAGAGGACTCACCAGAGACAGAGTGGGGAACAGAACAGGCGGACTGACTGAAATACACTGCTGAGGGGAGCAGCGGGCTAGACAGGAGAGGTCTGCTGCGCCATGTGGGTAACTCCCTGGCTGGGATGGAACTCATGCTGCAGTAGCTGCGGATAGCGTCATAGTGCTGTGCTCCACCCCTTGTGCCACCAGGGAGGCCCACAATTTACATTCCTACAACAGTCACCAGGGTTATCTTTTCTCCACATACTTGCCAGCAACAATTGTTATCTTTTGTTTTAATAATAGCCATTCTAATAAATGAGGGATAACAGCATCTTTTCATATGCCTGTAAGCCATTTGTTGTTATCTTTGAAAGAATGTCTATTCAAGTCTTGGGTCTGTTTTTTGTTTTTTTTTTTTAAATTGGATTGTTTACTTTTGCTATTGAGTTGTATGAGTTCCTTCTATATATTTGATATTAGTCCCTTATCAGACATGTGGTTAGCTAATATTTTTTTCCTATTCCATAGGATCCAGATGGGTGTTAGAGTAAGAAACACCCAAAGCAGATTAAAGATGTGGGAAACTTGATTAAGAACAGATGAAAACTCTAGTGGAATTAAAGTTTGGGGTGAGGGGAGGGGTAAGGAAGCTCATAATGGGAATTAAATCAGTGTACTTGAACGATTTGGGGACTAGAGTCAGAGTGATGAGGGATGGCTTGGAAGTCTGCTGGCTATTGATGAAAACCTGGATGTGATACCAGGTTATCCCGGATGGGCTCGTTCTTCTCCAATCTCATCTTAACCTCCATCTCAGACTTGGTCTGTCAGGTTTATTGATAGCTCCAAAGCCCTACAGTACTGTGAGATTGGGGTACTGAGGTGCCCCTAGAGCCTGCAAAGTTATCAGGGACTCCCCTTAAGTTCCACTGAGATAACAGGGCAAAGTTTATAATCAACAACTATAAAATATCTGAACCCCTGGAGCAGTGGAGCTCTAAATTCGGTCCCCAGACAAGAACCAGCAACAGTATCTCCTGAGAATTTGCTAGAAATGCAATCTGCCAAGCCACACAAGTTTTGCATCAGTAACTCCAGGGCAGGGTCCAGCAATCTGGGTCTTAACCAGGTCTCCTGGGAAGTCACAGGCTTGCCAGGTTTGAGACTATTCTGAAGAAGCTCAACAAACATTAGCTTAAAGATGCAGCCCAATGCTCTTATGAACCCTCAATCACAGAGCACTAAAGATGAAAGGACTTTCTCAAGGGTCTAGTCTGGCCTTGAACCTTCCATGTGAAGGATCTAAGTCATAGAGAAGTGTGACTTTTACAAGCCCTCTTGGCAGAACTGAAAGGACAACACCAAATAACAAACAAAAAAAAAAAACCTGACAAGTGGCCATTTTGACGGGTCACATAGTTTCTATTATCTTTATAAAATACAGATGGATATTATTTGCTTTCTGCCACTCAAGTCAGAGCAGATAGTTTGCCTTACTTCAAGCAAGTTCTTTTAAGGCTTGTTTAGTTTTTGCCTTGCCCTGGCAAAAACTGCAGAGGGGAGACTTCCAAAGGCAGAGCCAGAATCTCTGAGGAATGCAGCAGCCTCCTCCGGAATAGGAGCCCTTTTTGCAGCCTGCTAAGTCTCCACGTGCTGTGGGTCCGTTCTGACTTTTTCCATTTCAAACTCACCCTGCCTCTGGGGAGAGGCGGACAGTCCAACCCTGCGCACACTGGAGCCCCCGCTCCTTCTGCTTCTGGAGAGATTTAGCCTTAATTTTTGTGACAGATGGAGTTGATAGTCTCTCCACGGAAAGGGGAGGAAAAAAGCGCCAGTTTTTGACAGGCCTCAGATGCCGGAGCCTCTGGTGGTGGAAGGCTGAGTTGCGCCGAAGTTAAGGTAGTTCGCAAACTCCCGCGCCCGGGCTGCAGAGACTGCGGGGCTGCGCGGCTGGCCTTTGAGTGAGGGGCTGACACTGATACTTCCACGGAAACCTCGGTGCCTTCATGCGTGCCAACTTAACCCCTTCCTCGAATTGTGGGCTGCGGCCGGTGTTACTGACAACACACCTTAAAATCTTTAATGCTGGTATTATTTTTTCCATCACCCCCCCCCCCCGAGTTAGAAACTTTTATATTCCTAAAAACTTAAATGGGTTGCTCGGGTGTGTCTTGCAGTTGACAATGACGTCTGTCTCAAACCGGGCTGCTAAGCCGGACCGGGGCGGTGGAGAGGGGACTCATAAATATCTCATCAACGCCCTCCGGATTAAAGTGGGTCTCTCCCTCTCTCTCTCTTTAGGCTTCAGAATCCAGCATTAAATAGCCTGTTTTCCCTCCCCCACACTGTGATGATGGGGGACCCCAAAAATGAGGAATCCGAAAAACAGGGTTCTGAACTCAGTGGAAGGAACGCACAGGGGTCAGGGAGAGCTCTTAGGAAAGAAGGGAAAAGAAGCGAACACCAAGGTCCGTCACCGAGCCGGGTGCAAACAGCTGCCCTCGTCCGGCCCGCCGGTTCCGAGCGCGCGCTGGGGCTGCACCCCGGGCCTCCTTAAAAGCAGGAGGAGCTGTGGGCTGGGGCAGGCTCCCTCGGCCGCTCCTTTCAAGCGCTGAAAGCCGGGAAGTGAGCTGCCCACCGCCCGCCCGCCCTCCCCCACTCGGCACCCCCACTCCAGCGGCTGGTTAAAAAAAAAAAAAAAAAAAAAAGTTTCAACAACAACAGGCGGGACCAATAGCGTCTCGCGGAGCCGGGAGAGGGGCCGAGCCGGGGGCCGGGCCGAGCGGCGTGGAGAAAGGAGAAAGCGGCCCGGCTGGGCGCGCGCGGGGCCGGGGCTCGGCGAGCCGGAGGAGCGTCGCTAATGTTTTTGTTTGTTTGCCTTTCCATGCATGCATAATGAGGGGGCGCCGCGGCCCCGCGCGGGGGCTCCCGGCCCGTTTTTGTATTTAAAGCCTCGCTGCGAGCAAGTCCTCAGCCGGCGTCGGAGGATCCGCGCCCCGCGCTCCCGGTCTCCGGAGAAGCCGCCGCGGAGGGCAGCCCGGGGGCCGCGCCCCGGCCGCGCGGAGCTTCTTGTTCTCGCCGCGCCGCCCGGAGGGGCTCCCCGGAGCTCGGCGGACGCGGGCCGGGGTCGCCGCGGGCGGGGGCGGGCGCGGAGGGGGAGGGGCCGGGCGCCCGGCCGCGGGAAGGCGGGCCGCGGGCCGGCCCGGGCCGGAGGCGGCGGGATGCGGGAGCCGGCGGCGGCGGCGCGGCGCTGAGCCCGGAGGAGGGAGCCCGGCGCGCCCGGGCCACGGACCTGCCGGCGGGAGCAGATGCCCCCGCCGCGCCGCGCGCTTCTGCCGCCCGGCCGCGGCCCAGCGGCCCGCAGCCCCCCGGGCGGCCGTGAGCCTCCCGCCGCCTCCGCGCCGCGACCGGCGGGCTCTCCGCGGCTGTGCGCCCCCGGGAAGCCCCGCCGCCCCCGCCAGAGCCGGCTTTCTGCAGGCAGCGGGCACCGGCCGGCGGCGCGCATGGATTTATGAAAACACTCATGCAAGACGCTGGCAGCGCCGGGGAAACGTCTCCACGGGCTCGGATTCCGCCGCTCCGCGCGCCGCGTCTCCTCTCCCCTGCTCGCCCGGCTGCCGCCGCTGCCCGCGATGCTGGCCGGGCTGCTGGGCGGCGGCGGCGGGGCCCGCGCGGGGACGGCGCCGGGCCCCTGGCTGTGCCTGATGGCGCTGCTGCAGCTGCTGGGCTCCGCGCCGCGGGGCTCGGGGCTGGCGCACGGCCGCCGCCTCATCTGCTGGCAGGCGCTGCTGCAGTGCCAGGGCGAGCCGGAGTGCAGCTACGCCTACAGCCAGTACGCCGAGGCGTGCGCGCCCGTGCTGGCCCCGCGCGGCGGCGGCGACTCCCCGGGGCCCGGAGCGGCCGCCGCGTTCCCGGCCTCGGCCGCCGCCTTCTCGACGCGCTGGCGCTGCCCGAGCCACTGCATCGCGGCGCTCATCCAGCTCAACCACACGCGCCGCGGGCCCGCGCTGGAGGACTGTGACTGCGCGCAGGACGAGAGCTGCAAGTCCACCAAGCGCGCCATCGAGCCCTGCCTGCCGCGGACGAGCGGCGCGGGCGCGGGCGGCGCGGGCGCGGGCGGGGTCATGGGCTGCACCGAGGCCCGGCGGCGCTGCGACCGCGACAGCCGCTGCAACCTGGCGCTCAGCCGCTACCTGACCTACTGCGGCAAGCTCTTCAACGGGCTGCGCTGCACCGACGAGTGCCGCGCGGTCATCGAGGACATGCTGGCCGTGCCCAAGGCGGCGCTGCTCAACGACTGCGTGTGCGACGGCCTCGAGCGGCCCATCTGCGAGTCGGTCAAGGAGAACATGGCCCGCCTGTGCTTCGGCGCGGAGCTGGGCCACGGCCCGGGCAGCAGCGGCTCCGACGGGGGCCTGGACGACTACTACGACGAGGAGTACGACGAGGAGCAGCGCGCGGGGGGCGCGGGCGGCGAGCAGCCCCTGGAGGACGACGAGGGCGCCCCGCATCCGCCGCGCCCGGGCGGCGGCACTGCCACGGCGGGGGGCCGCGGGGACCCGCCTCACGGGCCCGGGCGCAGAAGCAGCGGCGGCCGCCGCTCGACGCCCCGAGACTCTTGGGCTCCGCTCGCCTCCATCTTGCTGCTGCTCCCGCAGCTCTTCTAGCCCTCGAGCCCCCCGCCATTGTTGGCGGGAGGGCTCTGAGCCGGGCACCTGTGGCTCGGGGGCCGGGGGCGGCTGGGGACACGCTGCCCGAGGGAGCCCTGCCTGGCCGGTGTCCTCACCTTGACTCCAGGCATTCACCCGTTTCCTCTCCCCGGCACGACGTCTTGAACAGGCTCCCGGCCCCCATTCCAGGCTCCGGAATATCCCCACTCGGCTGGCCGCCGCCCCCCCCCACCCCCCGCCCCAAGTTTAGCTGGAATTCGGGACGCCGGGGATGACGCGGGATGGGGGCCCAGAAACGTAGTGTGGACTCTGAAGAGAGCGCGCAGATCAGTGGGGCCGGGACTGTTAACAGGAACTGGGCATGGGACTGGGGTGTGAAGGATCATTTCACATTTGCAAAAAAAGACTGTTTCTTAGCATTTTTCCTTGGGGGGATGAGTGGGGCGGGGTGCGGGGAGGGGGGGTCAGGTAGCGACTTTTATTGTGGCCAGTGAGGACATTGCAATCCTAAGTACACGGAAAAGTCACACTTGACGATGCATTATTTAGTGTTGGTATCTGCGCCCAGAATTCTGTTTGGGGTGTGAGTCATGAGTTAGTTTTGGATAACTTTGAGCCCTTGACCTTAATTTCATTGCCACCACTCTGATCTCTTAGCACATTTCTTAATTGCACATTTTTTGAGGATTAAGGGTCAAAAATGCTAATTTAAAGAGTTGCTGGGTGTTGAAGAATGCAACTTTATATTTAAAAGTGCTCTGCACTGCCACTACAAAAGCCTCTTTATGTTTGTTTTGTTGTCATTTTTGTTCTTTACACCAAGAAATTGTATACAAATATGCAGAGAAAGTATATTACCTCTGCTTTTATCAGGGTGCTACACCCTGGTACTTCATATATAGAGTGTATTAAAACTGGGGTTTGTTACCAGTTGCTGTACTTTGTATATAGAATTTTTATAAATTGTATGCTTCAGATATAATTTATTTTTAAAAAGAAATTTAAAAATTATATCCGCATCCATGTTACACTCCGTTTATCACCAGGGATCCAAACCCACAGTCCATTGTGAAGTGTGCTCTACCTAGAATAGTCTTAAAATGTACAGTGTATTTTATAGATTTGAAGTTAACATTCTTATTGTCAAGAGAATTTATGGACATTGTAGAAATGTATAATGCATTTCCAAACTGCCTTAAACATTGTATTTTTATAGACCTTTTTTTTTTAAAAAAAAAATCCTGTTTTAAGTAACTATGCTTTCTGTGTTTTTATTTTTTTTTGTCTTATTAAAATATGTACATCAGTAAAGAGTTTTAAATAAGGAATATGGCGTAGTTATTTTCCAGAGTTACATTGTGGTTAACCCAATCATGGGCAAGGAGGGAGGAGGAGGAGTGGTCACTGGGAATCTATCAACCATCAACAGAAATCAAAATACAGCACAAAACAAATGAGGGCTATTACTTCTGCCTTTAATTTAATGAACGATTAGACATCTGTAAATGAGGCAAATAAAAGATGTAATTGACAAACCTCGATGGTTTTCACATTTGTGGAGGGAATTCATGAAATAGTGTCCCATCTAGGTAACCTGGGGAGAGCTTAGCTACCTCCTTACCTTCTCACTCTCCACTCAGACCCTCCAAAACCCCACCCCCAGGAGTGTCCTCTCTGACTACCACACATTCTCATCCACTCAAACTTGCCAATAACATCTGTTACCAATAGGTCTTAGGAGACTGATACTTCAAAGTCGTTTTCACACTTTGGGTGAAGAAGTATAAAATTTTGTTACAAAACATCCAGGCGGGCAAAAGTAAACACACTGGGGAAAGGAACAATTACCAGAACTTGTAATATTGTTGTGAGGCGTTGTTTAGCAGTGGGCTGAAGGCTGGGTTCCTGCCAGAGCTACTGATCTACACTCAAACGCCCTTAGATAAATAATTACACTCTTAAGCTGTGTCGAGTGCTGATACACTTGACCTTGTAAATAGAAATGTTTGCAGTAGGAATAAACTCCGGCATTGGAAAATCTTTTAAACATTAACACAAAAGAGAGTGCTCTGTCCTCTGGGGATTTGAGTCTGAACCTCGCCAAGCTAGGCACTTGCAAGGGGGGAAAAAGTTTATTTATCTTCTATTCCTGGTGTTTATTTAAAGCTTTTCATTTTAAACGCGGTGATTGGAAGGCAAGTCAGGAGTTTAAAAGTCACCACAAATAAACTTTGTCTGAGGGGTCGACAGATTAGCAAGATCTCGTGTCTCTTTATTTGATATTAACATGTGCTGAGAAAACACAACCAGATTTCTCTGCTGCCTGAAGTAATTAACAAAGCTACACTCCCCCCACCCCCCCTTTCCAACTTCCTCCCACCCACTCTCACCCCCCCTATGTTGGGCAGTTTTCTTTTCCTCCAGCTTTTGGGGAGGAATTAGAGGCACTTGTTGGATCTAAAACCAAGATTCATGTATGTATAACAACAGAAAGTTTGAGATAGCTGTAGGGCTGGACAAGCCTAGGAGAGCGGTGTGTGGCTGGAATCCCCAGTCACCTGAATGGTTGAGTAAACATATTGTTAAAACAAAGCTGAAAGCGTTGTTTCTTTGCAAAGTGAACAAAGAGTATTCCAAGAGACTTGTAAATGAAATCAGTTTTCTTTACAAAATGATGAGTTAGCAAAGCTCCTGTGTTTGGTCTTACAAATATTTAAATCATCTTCATCTCATGTTATTTTAACACATTCTTCACTAAAAGTTGTCTTTGTCCCAGTAAATGGCCCAGTTTTCCCCAGTAAGAAGTAAAGGGCATTAGCACTAGAAAAGGCCTGATAATTAACTGCTACAATAAACTCAGGACTTGATTTTACAGGGTCCTGTCAAAAGCATCTGCCTGGAATAAATCAACACAACTCGCTTTTGGGGAGAGAGGACACGGGGCTTTCTGCTTTCTTCCTGGAAGAAAGTGAACATAGATTGGTGGTCCATTTTAATTTAAACAGTTCTATGCCAGTGCCCAGGAGCCTCCTTGTCCCTTTTGCAGACCTAGTGGATTCCGGAACAGGTGGCTGAGATGTTAGGAACTTGGGTTGTTGGCTATGGGGTTGGATGTTGCTAGCTGATCCCAGGCAAAAGGATTTTTACAGATGTTGGCATTTGTAATAGCTCACCCTTCTCTGGGGGAACCTTTTGGACTTTTGGATATTTCTGACACTTTCTAATGTCTGGTGGAACATGCCTGGAAGTACTACTACTGAAAGAAAAGACATCTCTGGCTGTTTCTGAAGATTCTTGAGCAGTGGCACATGGCTAAACGAAGTCTTCCAGGATGAGAGCAACTCCTTGTGGGTTTCATGTGAAGCCATGTGTCCTTGCAGCCATCCCCATCACCCCAGTTAGCAGGTTTGCCTTCTCAGTGACAGTTTATTTGTCTTTGGAGGCACTTCAGTGACAAATGTTTAAGGGAGTGTGGGACAATGGTGGAGAACAAGGAGGCAGTTCATTGAACTGACAGTGACCATACAGTAAATAGAAGGAGGTTCAGGCTTCACTGCTCACCCAAGCACACAGCAATGCTTTTGTATATGACCACAATGGACATAACATAAGGTCTCTGTTTATTTTTAACAATATATAGCAATGTATGAGAGCAATACACTTCTGTAAAGTAGAAAGATGCCTGGAGAGAACCAAATTCTTGTACTCTAAGTAACAGGACATCCCTGCACATGGGTGGGGTTCTGACAAATTTTCATAAGTAAAGAAGCAGCAGCTCCTGGGACCAACTACCTCAAACTGAAGGGGCCACCATGCTGACACATCTGGGGTGCACTGCAGCTGCCTGGAGAGGGTCCCTGTGGGTAGTCTGTCTTCCTTAAATGGAGAGAAATCTTAGAGTGGGGTTCCCTTCCTCACCACTCCCTGTAGTCACACCCTGAACCCCTCCCAGCAATATTATGTGTATAGAATAAAAAGAGGGAAAATGTCATGAGAATTTTCAGAGACATAACACTTTATATTGAGAACCTTTCTATTTTTAAACTTTGGTTTGCATCATTAGCTTATTGACTTCGCTGGGGAGTTCTCAAACATAATTTCATATATTCCCTTCAAAGCTGTAAAAGGAAAAGCCTCTATTATTTTTTCCTGACCTCTTACATCAGGGAAAATCAGGAACATTGTCAGTTGCCCTGTTTCTCCCAGTTCCCCAAAGTAAGATTGTTGAGAATCTTCATACCACAAATGTTTTATAGCCAAAGTGTAGCTTTTTGGATGACTGGTTTTCAGTGGGTCTTCAGCCTTGTGAATTAAGTAAAGTTGAATGTTACTGTATCTTGTTTGAGGAATTGCTTCTGCTGGACAGTTGAAAAGGTTCACCCTGGGCTATCTGAATGACATAAGTAATGTGCTATTAGCATAAATACCTTCTAAGGCATCCATTTAATCAATTTCTTAAATAACAGAATGATCTACTACAAAATAGTGAACTGTATACACTATATTTTGGCACAAAGATGGTCATTCTCCCACTAGTAACCAGGGGCTCTAAATAAATGATTTCAACAATGTTTTATTAAAGGAAGACAAGAGCCCTCGAGCTGCATTAATCGGGGAGAAGTCGAGTGGCACTTTTGTTATGGAAATGTTAAGCACATAATAGCACTGCCAAACAATGTGCGGCCACTTCATTCTTTCAGCCATGCTGACACCTCTTAAAGAGGAACTGCAGGGAAGGATGTGGGAAAGATTTGCTTTCTGAGGAAGCTTTCAGCTAATATTTTGGAGGGTTACCTCCAAACCCTGTGTAATATGCATCCAGGGAAGCAAGAAGGGATGCTGATATGCAGGAAATGTTTCCTCCCTGATTTTAGGAGTGTGGGTTTATTAATAAAATGAAAGATCTACATTTTTTTTTGACATGCCATTTGTCAAAACTCTATTTTGGTTATTTCATAGTGCTTAGTCCAATATTATAGATCAAAGACTCAGTTACTCTCAGTGGTGTTGACATGTGCTGTGGGTAGCCAACAGAAGCATCAAAGTCAGCATATAAGTGAACATATATCATCAAGGACATCTTTGATTTGTAGAAGAAAATAAAATATATACTATCCATTTCTAAAGGTAATGAACACTCTTATGTTCTCTGGTCACCGCATTCCTACAATTTACTTTCTATCTTTAAATATTTTAAGTTCTATAGAATATTTGTGGGGTCTTGGATATTAGAAAGTAGTAATAGCTCATAACTAAATCTTTTTGTATATTTTATCACTCATCAGATGTTACGAAGCACCAAAATCAGAACATTTCAGTGATACCTTAGATTTTTCTCATAGACATCTCTGTTATGAAAATGCCAGTCATCTGGTAACAATGGGCTAAAGCCAAAGACTATTACAATCTAAGCTACAGTTTTAACTCCTATCATCTCTCACCTACTTGGAGAATCCCTCTGCAAAAAATATTGAAGTAAACTTCTATGATAATTAAAACTTATGTCTGTAATCCTGAGCAAGTGAGGGGAGCTGGCAGAGAACAAAGAGTTTGCTTTGGTTCCACAGGCGTTTCAGCAGAATGTCTCTGTGGGCCAGTACTGTGAACATGCCAGTCTTATCCTTAGATAGGCTGGCAGTCAGGATGAGGGGACAAACACAGATACTTGCAACATCAAACGGAAAATGCAGTAAGGAAAGTATCTTGAAGAAGGTGACACAGAAGCTGGGGCTGAACACAGGTGAATGGCTTAGTTAGCCAGGAGAAAGATGGGGAGACATTTCTATTAAAGGGAATCACATGTCCTCAGGCATGGATGGATGGAGCAGAATATTCTGTGTATGTGTGTGTGTGTGTGTGTGTCACCATGCCTGACCATTTGTTACCACCACAGCATAAAGTAGGTAATATCAAGACAGAGGCGCCTTGAATGTCACACTAAGCATTGGCTGTACCCTGCACAGTGTACCTATCAAGAAACTATGGGAATTCCCAGCTGAAAACTCCAGAAGTTCACTTTACTGAACAGACTACATCATAATTTTTTTTCAAAGATTTATTTATTTATACATAAACCAGGGTATAGGCCAGATGTGCGGGAGGGTGAGAATTCACCAGAGACAGAGAGGGGAACAGAACAGGCAGACTGAATAAAAGGCTAAGAGGAGTGGCGGGTGAGACAGGAGAGATCTGCTGTGTCATGTGGGATTCTCTACGGCCAGCGGGAATCGAACTCCCCCTATAGAGGCTAGGGACAGCTTCACAGTGCGGCACTTAACTGCCTGTACCACCAGGGAGGCCCACTATATGACAATTTTAAGGAGTGAAGACCAGAGACAAATAAAAGAGCTTGGAGGCTACTTCCAGGTACAGTGAACAAAGGGGGGGGGGGGGATGGAGAAGTCAGACTTAAGCAGTGTCATTGTTCAAAGAGAGGAGAGGCCAAAATGACTGCTGGGTCTCTGGCTCAAAAAAACTGGCTAGGTGATGTCATCTCTGGTCCTGCAGGAAGAAAGTCTGAAGGGCAAGTTGTAGTGGAGATGTGCAGGATATGGGGTGGAAATACACACAAGACCCCAGCTCTAGGTCTCTAGCTGGATGTAGGTGTCAGACTTGTAGAAAGAGCACAGTTAAAAGTCTGAGCATAACACAACCAAAGGAAAGTACAGAGAGAAAAAGCATAGTGGGCAGAGGATGGTGTGTCCAGAAAAGAAATCTCAAAAGGCATGAGAGAAGGCCAGGGTGATCTAAGAAAGAACAGGAGCAAAGAAGTATAACATCTCTGGCCACGGATAGCTAAATATTAAAATCTTTGTGACTGCTACTAGCAATAAATCTTTTAAAACAAGATGAATTAACTGAATTTCTAAGAAAATATAAGTGACCAAAACATTCTTCGTTATCACAATAGTATTAAAGATAATTATAATCACACTAACTCTAGGAAAATGATTGTTACCAAAATTTTGCTATCTACTACTACTACTACTACTACTACTATTACTACTACTACTAAAGTATGATAGTTAACATTATTGAGTAATTACAAAGTGTCATACACAGTACTGACCATGAAATATAGGCCATACCATGTCATTAGTATAGCAACTTATTTTTTATTATCATTGTCATTTTACAGATGAAGAAACTAATGCTCAAATAACAACTATGATTATTTAGTAAGTAGGTTGGTAAATATACAATCTATTTGCTCCAGCAGATTGAGGTCTTAGCTTTTATACCATGTTGATTTTCAAAATGTAGAAAATCTGAATTGTCCATGAACCTTTGACATATTGGACCAAATACACACAATTTTATATAATCTACCTGTAGTAGGAAATATGCCAAAATGTTAGCAGTGGTGTCATTGTGGGTAATTCTTTTTCTTATGCTATATTTGTGTGCTTCCCAAATTTTACCAACAAATATATAGTACTCTACTTCATAACTAGTTGTTTTTAAATAACAATATTCAGAACCATGAGGAAGAAATAGGTTTTGTCCCTATGCTCACAGCTAACAACTCTCACGTTTGAAGGCTGTGCCTGAAAAGACTCATGAAAAAGAAGTGACATTTTGGGCTTCCCCTGGTGGCGCAGGCAGTTGAGCACCACACTCTGAAGCTGTCTGCAGCCTCTGCAGAGCCGGATCATCTGGCGAGGGTCCCACATGGCAGGGCAGACCTCTCCTGTCTCACCCGCTGCTCCCCTCAGCAGTGTATTTCATCAGTCTGCCTGTTCTGTTCCCCGCTCTATCTCTGGTGAATCCTCTTACCCTCCCAGGCATCTGGCCTGTACCCCGGTTCTTGTACAAAATAAATAAATAAATCTTAAAATTTTTAAAAAAAGAAGTGACGTTTTCTGAAACCTAAAGTAATTCAAATTTTAAAGTTGTCCTGTCTAGAAAAGCATATAACAGATGAAAATAAATCATTAAAAATTTAGATCTTGAAAGGAAGGCCTGAAGAGATCTTTTATTCATCCATTCATTCAATGTTCAGTGAGCACTTACTTTGAGCCAAGTTCTAGAGATACAGCAGAAAACCAAAAGTAAAGCCTTTCTGGCCACAGGGGTATGAGTTCTGCTTGAAATCTGCTCTCCAGATCACACTCCCTGCGTCCTGAAACAAGGCTAGTCTTCCTCAATCAAAGGACGACCATACCTTCTTCTCTTTCTGTACCTGTTCATTGTTTTGTTTATGTTTCCTTTCTTAAAATGTGTTCGTGACTCATAGGTCTGTGTGGGAAAATAAAAGTTATATATACATGACTAATCATTCTAGTTTTTTTTTTTATGTATTTCACAAGTGGAAGAATAAGAATTC